ATCTAACTGATCTATACGTAAAAAGCTATATTTCAGAAGAGAGTGAGAGAGTCTGACCATAGGCAACAGGAGTGAGTTTCATCACCGTATGCAGAGGACACTTCAGATAAGGCAGCTCATCTGGAGGAACATCAGGACAGAGCGGTCATTAAAACACTCAGCCAAATGTACATGCACACCCTAGACTGACAGTTTTCTATCCAAGCAATTTAAGAGTAAAATGTTGTAAATATCAGTGACATGCAAGATGTGTGTGAACTTGAACTTCTTACCTGGATTTCTGTATTGATTAATCATACAATATGGTTTGACCAGAATTATAGACAAACACAATCTGACTAATTACACACAAGCAGTTGTACTGTTACATTTTTTACTGAAGACATTGACTAAGCATTCACCGTGCATACTTGAAAATGTGAGTGAACCCCTGATTTTAACAACTTGTGGATCCTCTTTAGCAGAAACACAACTTCTACCAAATTTTTCTTGTAGCTGCTTATAAAACATACACCACATTGAGGATACATTGGGGTAAAGGCACAGAGTGGGGTCAACGAGTGCCGGTGCATAAGAGTGTGTAAAAAGTCACCAGTGCAATCCAATGTTCAGTCACATGAATATGTAACTAGACGAGCAACAGAGAGTAGATTTTTACTCCCCAATGCTAAAACTAACTTTCTGAGACGTACAGTACTATACAGGGCAATGAAATTATGGTATTTTTTTACCAAGGTCATTAATTATTATAACACGGAAAAAAGATTTTAGAAGGCAGGTGAAGGCACACCGTATTATTGTATTTATAGATAGTTGAGGCATAAGAATTCATTGAATGAGCAATAAGTTTTATAGTAGGTGAGTTATATATTAAAAGGTGGAAGAAATGTTTAAATTGGTGCTCATGGAATGTGAAAAATGTATTTAATATTTTTATATGTACGTAATAATGTATGAATTTTAAGTGTTGTGCGGACCCCAGGAAGACTAGCAGTGCTCTTGGGCATAGCTAATGGGGATCCAAATAAATGAACAAATATCAGCAGAGGTGGACAAAGTACACAGTTCCATTACTTGAGTGAAAGTACAGATACTGCTGGTCAAATATTACTCCATTACAAGTGAAAGTTGTAAAGACAGATTTTTACTGAAGTAAAAGCACAGAAGTACTTGCTTTTAAAAGTACTTAAGTGCCTAAATTACATTTCCTTTTTTATGTCAATGCACTGCTTTATTATTGTTGTATGTAATACTTGCAATATCAACAATAATAATATAATAATCCAATTGTAATACTTGCAATACATTACGCCTACTGAATGCACTGACTAATTACACACAAGCAGTAAAGGCACAGAGTGGTGTATGTTTTATAAGCAGCTACAAGAAAAATTTGGTAGAAGTTGTGCTTCAGCTTAAGAGGATTCACAAGCTTGTAGTATATCTTTGGAATAAAGAGCTTTTAGAATGTTAAAAACCTATAGAAATGAAACAAGTGAGTTGACAAAAAAACAATACAATTTATTTAACACCCCTCCCCCACCCCCACAAAAACAGCATGGTAGTGATCTCACACAGCTCTGGCAGACAGTGCACACATCTACGTGTAGCCATTCATACACATTTGAACCGAGTGGACACTGAAACTGCTGTAAATACAGAGTGATAAGGAAGAAAGAAAAATCAAACCTGCTTTAAAACCCAGGCAAAGCTCTTTCTTTAGCTCAAGTATACAAACCTCTTTCTATGCTCAAGTACTGTCTGTCACTGTCTTTTTAATCAGTTATGTGCATTACTGTATGGTTAATCCACATGCACTGTAATATGTTTAATATTGAAAGTTACATTTTCAAATGAAAATAGCAACATGATCGTTTTATAAAGTAGGCTATCATATGTGTTAAGGGCTACATTTTTGCTGGAGGAAACAGCTGTGGTGTGATGAGGGGTGAACGGAGCGAAAACTTTACAGTAGATGGAAAACCGATTGCTCCCCCGTGACATTTTGTAGGAATAGTAGCAGTGTGGACTTGAATAAAGATCACAACATTTTTTAATCAATACAGAAATCCAGGTCGTCCAAACTTTTGATTGCAACTGTACAGCTCAAGTATTGGAGTAATGTTCCAGTAGTATGTTCTGAAAGATTTTCTCTACCTGAGGTTTTGTCTAGGAAGTACGCCAGCAGACAGCGCATGACAGCCTGATGACATATGACCAGAACGTTCTCCTGCCGCTCAAGCTCCATGATTACAGGCTCTAAACGCTGAACCAGATCCTCATAGGACTGAACACACACAAATACACAAGCATTGCAATACAAATAAAACAAGGATAAAAACACCTTACAGAGATCAGGTTAGCATTAGCGGTTAAGCCCTACTAGTAGATGATGTAACTGCACCTTTATTCAAGAAAAACCATTTTCCATTGAAATAAAATAAATAAATAAATAAATAATGAATTGAATTTCTATTAAAAAAATAATAATAGTAATAGGTGAGGATGAAGGGATGAGGCGAGGACTCAATGGTGCAGGAGATAAGGGCTTTTTATTAAAAATAAAACAAAATAAACAACAAAAACTACCCCATGGGGGAAAAACAGGCCAGTGACTGGTCCAGATCTTCAGATCCAGGATGCACTGACCCCTGATGTATGTGCCTAGAGCTGCAGCAAACTGACAAAAATAGGTCTTCTGTTTTTCAGCTTGTTGCTGTGCAGAGGTTATGGGTGTTTCTAGGGCATTGCCATGTAATTTTTTATGGGTGACATGAGAGGGGACCAGTAAGGTGGTTTACTGCTCCAGTCAAATGAGTCCACCCCAAATCTCTATACTATTATGGGTAGGGTTTATGGCAGTCAAAGTAAAATTCAAACATTCATCAAATTTAAGATAAAAATGCACAAACAAATGCAAGAACTTATGATGCGATGCTCCGAAAATATGTGAATTAGATTAGATTAGATTAGACAGACTTTATTGTCCCGAAGGAAAATTGTCTTGGACACATACTTAATACAATACATACACAAACTGCCATCGACCAACCAGTTGCACACTACCCATCATACAACACACCTGTAATCGTCATAATAATAAGATTCATAGGAGAAAAAAAAAATCATAAAATATACTTGATTATCGTTATCACACGCACATTGTTTGTCCACAGAATAATTACACATGAAATAAAAAGCGTCCCGCACAAACCTACCTCTCCACCAGCAGGACCTCAATTTCAGACTCAGTAAAGTGTTTTTTTTCTTTGTGCTCGTCATTCTCTAGCATAGAAATTCGGATAATGGCATATGATATTAATTAGGGGGCGTTTACAAGGCGGAAATCTGACACCATTCAGCTGCGCACAATTTCAAGATCATTTGCAATTTATAAATGCCACATCTGGGCAGCATGGATCAACCTGCTGGTTCGTCTGGCCGGAGGAGAACTGGAGTAAAAAGTAAAAGAGTAAAAGAGTCCAATTTAATTGCATTTTCACAAGCTGAACAAATCTTACATGGGAAGAAGCCAGTGGAATGATCCAAAGTCACATATTTGTTCTCCTTAATGAAGGTATTAGAACTGACTAAATGATCTCTTATGTTGCATCCCCTATAATATGAGAAAGGGGGAGGCTCCTTGAAGATTCTATCTCCGATGTCATCGGCTCTCAGAACATGCCAATGTTTATTGATGATAGACTTGATTGCCTGACTGTGAACACAGCATGAAGATTATCGTTATGAGCACGTAGAACGGGCTGACGAATAAAGTCTGCTTTTGTTCCAAATTGGTCAATCATAGCGTTCTTATGGAGATGATGTGATTACTCTGAGCTATTTACAAAGCTCTGCTGCTTTTTTCTATTAGTTTTTCCATGTAAATATGCACTAGATGGGTATCATTGACCATTGTCCCTCATCTCGCAGCTTTTTCAACGTGTTGCGTGTGAGACCCAGCCTTCTTTTCCATTCATCAGGACTGCGGCTCTACAATTGGATACAATAATGCGTGTCTCGTGTTTATACGAGCTAAAATGCATTCTTTTGGATCACCCCCTTATGCCTGTCACTCAGACATCAAAAATGTTGTCAAATTGGACCGGTAGTGAACCTAAGCACTTCTACTCATGCAGGTAAATGAAGACAATGGCACAGCTTTTAAAGATAGTTTCCGATGACTGACATCACAGAATTTATGGCATTTTGGTGCTGATGTGTGAATGGACTCTTACAGGCAAAAAGCCAGAATGTTGTTGCCTGTGTGAACAGCATATTTGTGTATTTACTGGTAAAGTCATACTAGTAATTTTATGGTAATTTACCGGGATTGCTGTGTGAAAGGGGCTAGTGTCAGCTTCTGTGTCATCAGCAAGTGCTCTGTGTGAAATTGTGTGTCAAGTTTATGTTGTTTGTCCTGTGCCATTGCACAATTCAGTTACAAACATGTTATGGTGTGAAAACAGTAAATTAGGTAATGTGTTATTCCCTGCCTGTGCGAGGGACACACATGATTTATGTGTTATTTGTCTGGCAGCGGAGCATGAGTGAGTGGCTGTCACTGTGAACGCTCCGCTTCCGCCTGGCGTTCTTTGAGGAGCTACTTTCTAGAGAGAAAAAGGTTTTCCTGCGACCAAGAAATGGTTTTCCTGCAACCAAGCAAGTCAAGTCAAGTCACCTTTATTTATATAGAGCTTTTAACAATACAGATTGTGTCAAAGCAACTGTGCAGCATTAATTAGGAAAATCGTGTGTCAATTATGCAAAAGGACAATAGTAAACACTCAATTTTCAGTTAAATGCAGTTCATCATTGAATTCAGTGATGTCATCATCCAGCTCAGTTCAGTTAAAATAGTATCTGTGCAATCAAGTCGACGATATCGCTGGAAATTAGGTGTTTAATTTAAGTAAGCTTTAAGCAAGTGGATAGCTTTCTAAAGCCTTCTTGTCAAGGGTATCCCTTCAAGACATTTGAGATGTGGCAGGTTAGTCCTTTTCGCTGACATTTGTAAAATTTTCTAACTTAGGCCTGGGCTCTGCACCAGGTTCTCAGGTGCTGCTGTCTTAGTTGTGCTCGCATGATTTCACATTAGACAGTTAAGTATGGCAAAGTAGGTATTATCATTCCCATAGCATCATTATTTTCAGATGCAACACAAGTTCCCTCGAAAGGGAACATCTCAGGTTAAAACTGTAACCATGGTTCCCTGAGAAGGGAACAAGACTCTGAATTGTTCTGCCATACTTCCTGCATTCCTGTGATCGACTTGCTTCAACCTATCAGAAGCTAACACTGTTTGTTCCGGATGTGCTTTCCTGGTCCTGCTTTTTTCTTTCTTTTTTTTTTTGGAAACAAAGGAAGTCTTTTTTTGGTTATCACCAAAACTCTTGTTTTTTTTCCAAATCATTAGAACATTATGTCTTCTCAGAAGGCTGTCTAAAATTAGCCTCTGGAGGTAACATTGTATACAAACTCTGTGTATGAAGTCACTGGCTGATTGAGTAACAAGTATACTATCTGTACTAAATAGTATTTTGAAATTAGAATTAGTAAGTAATTTAGCCATTTTGAATCAAAGTAAAAAAAAAAAAGTATAGCATACAATATCCTTCAAGAATATCTTTAAAAATATTTCTATCATGACAACTCTCGTATATGACAATGTTAATGTATTTGGTCTTTGCTGTAGTTGTAGATTATTGCTGCTGCTGCTGCTGCAAGCAAGTATGAGAAATTGCTACTGCCAATACATACGCCTATATGGTTCTGTGAGTTTAAAACGCACTGCTGCTGCACAAATAGCATAATAACCCGTAGTAGATCTATACAGCTGGAGCTGGGGAAGGTGGAGGGCTTCAGAGGAACTCTGAAAGCACGCTGTGAAATGCTCTAGTGAATGCTAACCAGTATTTAAATGTAAAGCAGCAAGCTCTTTGGCTGTGTATGTGATTTGAATCAATCAACTTGTGCCAAGTAGTTTAACGCGGTGAATATCATCAGTTTGCGTTAATGACCCGTCAGTCTGCGCCATCTAGAGTATCATGACAGAACTTGGCTATTATTCAGAGGCCATTTAAGCCTTAGATTCATTTATTTGAAGAGTTTTGTTTGAATTTACCAGATTTTTGCCTTAAAAATAGCTTTCCTGTTTTTGTTTTTTTTAAGTTTACCTTAACATTGTGTGATGTTACATTTCTTTTTATAATCATAGTATAGAATTTACAGGTAATTTTTTGACTGACAAAATATTTAAATTGGATAAAATACACATTTATGTTATACGAATCCCTTATAAATATAATTAATGTTATATAAACATAAATGTCAAATCCCTCAGTGCAAATTAAAAATTTGCTGCCTCAAGAAGCATTAAGACAAAGGAAAGTAGTAGAACACCTCTCCTCATTAAGGTATTAGTAGTAACATTAGTAGTAACAATAAACATAGTAATTCCTTAAAACGTTATAGCCAGCAATTCAGCCTGAAAGCCCTGCTCAACACTATTTGCATTATTTTAATCAGATTTAAGCTAACCTTCATTCCTCGTGGCGAGAGGCCGGAATCACCTCCGATACGCCCCAAAAGGTTGAGTTCACTCTCTCCATGACGACAGAGGTAGATAGTGCGAGGTGTGACATGGATGTTCATCAGATAGTAGACGATCCTGCTCTGAATATGATCTTGGACCTGATTAACCAGGTACCTGCTGCCCACGTTAAAGATCTTAATGTATGGCAGGTTCCTGTGGACACAGAGAGAGGACAGTAATGATGAGGACTTCCACTACAATCATGTCAAACAACAGATGTTTGTTAAATTCACTCAGGGTGACAATGCTTCACCTGTCTTTGTCATCATCTAAAGGAACGTATGTGAGTTTGTAGCAGTCTATTCTCTTAAGGAAGTCAGTCACAGCCTCCTCTTTATCACAGTTAACATAATCAGGACTGCTCAGCTTCACTTGCTGTAGATAAACAAAGGTTTGTTTTTTTAAAGAACTGCTTACAAGACAAATATATACTCCAATACCGACGATCGACCAGGTAATATTTTAAAATGATGCACCTCATTACAGAGCAACTCACACATACAGCCACAATAATACACACAGATCAATAATTAAAAGGAGAAGCAAATATAATTTTTTAACATGTTATGATATACTCATATTTCTTCACCTTGATGTTTTCTGCAATGATTTCTGGGTCATCACAAAGAGACTCAACAAAAAACACCTACAAGAAAGACAACCCTAATTTAAAAGTTATATATTGTAGAAATATTTTCTAAATATACTCTAGAAATTAGGTCGGAATTTGGTAACACTTCAGATTAGTAAACATTATTCACTATTAACTAGTTGTTTATTAGCATGCATATTGGCTGTTTATTAGATCTTATGAAGAACATCTTAATGCATGGCCATATTCTAAATTCCTTAATCCTACCCAATACCTAAACATAACTACTACAAGTGCCTTACTTACTACCAACAAGCAGCAAATTATAAGTTTATTTAGGGAAGACTCTTAGCTAACAAGTGAACACGTGTTCTAATGTCCCTAATCTAAAGCGTTACCATTAATTTGATGAATATTAATTCATCAGTTCACCTTTTTCACTCACTTTATAGCCGTTCTCTTTAGCAAAGGTGAGGATCACCTCTCTACGTTCTCTTGTTGTGTTGGTCGCATCGAACACCTGAACATAAATGTGCTGAATTAGTCATAACATCATTAAAAACCTTTCACATACACTACCTATCAAAAGTTTGGAATAATTTTAGAGTTTCTGGCTGCTGCTTAAAAAATATACTGTTTTCAACACTGATAATAATAAGAACCAAAATAGCTTTAAGCAGCAATTAGGGGCCAAGCACAACAGAGGGAAAATGAAGAGCTGGGCAATGGCAGGGAGCATCAGTCCAACTGAAAATGTGCAAATAAAGACACTAAATAAAATGGTTGAAAACCCATCAATACAATAACTTGTAATATGACATCATTAAATGACTACTAGTGGCCGACAGACAAAATAGGTGACGTTCGAAAAACATATACTATGGGATTCTGTGGGACCCAGGGAATAAAAACAGAGATTCAAAATTGTTCAGCTGTTCCACTGTTCAACTTGGTTTGCTGTACTGAATTCTAAGGAGACCTTAAAAATGTCAATTTTTCACATCTCTTGTCCAATATGTGGCACTGTCGAAACTGCTCACGTACCATCAGGTCATGGTTGTTATAACCAAGTTTGAACTGAATAAGCTAAAGCATTGCAGAAATATAGCCTCACTGTGCTTGTGGCATGCTCTTCATCAAATTCCTTGATAGACTATATGAGAATGGTTTTGTCTATTGAAAATCTTTTAATAACTTTTTGCCAGCATGGTCTAAAGATGATCTGAGCAACTTTTGGTGAAAACTGGACAAGTAGGTTTTTCAGAAAATACAATTCATTGCAATGGTTCAAAAGTTAATAGCATAAACATGACTGCAACTTTGGACAGTTGGTGACGTTAAAGGGTTTGAGTGAGAAACTCCAAATTTGCTGTGGTAAATGTTCAGAATCTGTCCTCTTTCTGTTTGCATTCTATGGGCGGTCAGACTTGAGAGAGGAAGAAGGAGAAGAAGAAGAATAAAACTAGTAAATACAATAGATGCCTATACGCACCTTTGGTACTTGGTCCCTAATTATCAATAATTAAGCACCAATAATAAATGATATTAACTGAGCACCAAATCAGCATATTTTGTAATAGAAAACAGTTATTTTAAATCATAAAAATATTTTAAAATGTTACTGTTTTTACTGTGTTTTTGATTAAATAAATGCAGCCTTGGTGAGCATAAAAGACTTTTAAAAGTCTTTTTAAAAGTTGTTACAAAAGACAAAAATTTTAAAAATCATAATTATTCCAAGCATTTGGCAAGGGGTGTATAAACATACGGCAGCATTAAACAGAGTATACTGGAGCATTAAACTACTATGATAACACGTATTGCCTTACCAACTTTAGTGTTAATTGTTCAGAGAAAGATAAAGTGTCTATACATCCCTTCTCAATTCATCGATTTCTGTAGTAACATCAGTAAATTGTCCATTTTGAGGTGAGCATGTGTGTGTATGCTGTCACTTACTGCCACTTGTCCATGATCCTGAGTGAAGTAACAAAAGACGTCCTTCAACGCCGCCAGAGCACAAGCTCTAAAGGACACAGTTTACAAAAAATAAAATAAAATGCGCACAATCGTACAATACAGTTGATACAACAGTTAGTTCTGCTGCTCATATCTGATTGGGTGAATGGTATACTGATATAGGGTGAATTCCAGTAGCAAGTGAGCATCCCTATGACCTACTCACTACAAAAGGCAGAGCCCCTCAAGCGGGAAGTCAATGGAAGTCTAGTGCAACTGGCTCTCAGTGGTGGAGATTGTTCAGAGACCCTTTCGGCAGCTTACATTACATTATTACAGTAATACAGTAATAAACAAGTCTCTAATAAAGTGACTGTCTTTATTAGAGACTCACAGTATCATTTACTCAACTTATGGATTCAGGACAAATACTGCCACAGTGTATTGACTCAAAGCTTAATAACTCTTGTTTAGGTGATACTGCTTAGATAAAACACTGATGTATAAAGTGTGAGTTTCTCACTTGCGAATTTTCATGGCCTCTTCATTGTCTGGGCGGAAGAATTCAAAACTCTTATAGGTGCGTACAGCATCTCTGCGGTACTGTCCAACGTTAAACACTGTTAAAATAGTTTCACATCAGTGATCATGTATAGTGCAAGAAATAATGCTCTAATGACAGTACCACAGTTACAACAAAAACATATATATTTCTAATATCTACCAGTATATTAGCCAGAAAGTACATGTATCGACCACTAACTATGCTATTTGGTCAGTTAACAGAAACAGATTTCCAAAGTTTTCCAGCTTAAATATGTTTTGTAATTATAAATACATTAGATTTTGATGGCTGCAAAACACTCCAAAAAAGTTGGAACAGAGGCAAAATAAAAGTGAAAAGGTTATCCACCTTATTTTTCCCGTAAGAGCAGGCGTGGCCATTTTGTAAATTTAATGCGTCTGGCTTCCAGTGTCACCCGCTTCCAGCTATTTTTAGCTGTACAAAACACCTCGTTTTGCGGCTTGATATTTCAAACTGGTGTCTTACCATATTATTTTAATATGGTATTATCCTAATTATGAACACACTGGTTTGTAGTGAAAACCGTTTTACCCTTTACTGCACTTTGTTATTCTTCTTGTTATTTCCCTACAGCGGTTAATGAACCGGAAGTCTCGCACATTGACAGAAAATGGCTTACTTCCACTGAAAAATAAGGTGGATAGAATATCCAAGTTAATCTGTTGAAACAGTCCACAATAAGAAGGTGAAATGGTAATACGTAAGGGGATCATATTTGGGTGTAAAAGGCGCATCTCAGTCTTTGCCAGCAAAGCCACTTTGCCAAATTTCATGGGATGAGTGTCAAACAAATAAAAAAAATCAAATTTCTCAATGCAAAATCGCAAAGAATTTAGGTCTTTCACCAACTACCATACATAATATTGTGAAAAGGTTCAGGGAATCCAGAGAAATCTCAGTACATGCAGGGCAAGGCAGGAAACCTCGGGTGTGACCTTTGAGCCCTCAGATGGCATTGCATAAGAAACCGTCATGCTGCGGATGTGTTAAATATAGCCACATGGGTTCAGGAGTAATTCAGTTGCTTTACCACAGTCTGCCGCTGCTTCAAGAAATGCAACTTCAATCTCTGTTACGCAAGGAGTATACATCAAATGCAGCGATGCCGCCGGGTTCTCTGGACCAGAGCTCATCTCAAGATAATCAGAAAGACTGTGGAAAGGTGTGAGTCCAATGAGTAATGACTCCACATTTCAACTTGTTTCCGGGAAAAATGGATTTCGAGCTCTCAGTCCCAAAGACCAAAGGGACCATTCAGACTTTCATCAGCGACAGAAGCAAAAGCAAATGTCTGTCATGGTATGGGGGTCTTTCCTGGGAAGTCCATGGTTATTAGATCAAGACAATGCTAGTTCTCAGTCTGCATGTGCTACAACAGCAAGGTTTTCTAAACATGTGGATGGCCAGCAGATCTGCCTCCAATTGAAAATGTATGGCCCACCATGAAAAGGAGAATCAGGCAATAACAACTACGGACTGATGAGCAGCTGAAGTCTTGTATCAAGCAAGATTGGACAACAATTTTGCATGCAAAACTTTAACAATTAGTATAGTGTAGTATTAGTGTTTATTCTCAAACAATTAATCATTGTAATTAAAAGGACAGTTGATGTGACAGAGTGCTCCATTTCTTTAGAGTATGCTGCAGCCATCAACATCAAAATTAGTTTATATTTACAAAATACAATTAAGTTGGTCAGTGAAAACTTTGGAAATCTTTTCTTTGTATGTTTGTCAATTTAATAAAGGTTAAAGAGAATTAACAAATCACAGATTCTTGATTTTTATTGCATTTTACAAAATGTCCCAACATTTTTTTAATTGAGGTTGTAATGTTGCTTGATTTTGTGCTTTGCCTGCTAATCTGATTAATTGATTCGTTCATATAATGTTTCTACAGTATGTATAATAATTCTCACCCCTGGTGGGAACTCCAATCCAGTTGAGGTAACGTGTGAGTTTCTTTGAGATGTAAGTCTTTCCTCGGGCAGGCAGACCAACCATCACAATCATGGTGGGCGAGTTGGTGAACTGTGGTACTGATGCTGAAATAAACACAGACAACATGTCTAAACAAAAAAATGCACACTATATATTAGTCTAACATTTCATACATTCATACAGAAACAGATTCATCATTTGATATGGTTTTATAATGGATTTCTTAAACTGATCTCAATGGAAATAGAAGCATTGCTTACACTCCCACTCATTTCATTGTAATTTACATCAGTGAAAATATTGTACTAGTGCCTCTTGTATCAGTGGTCTCTGTGTTTGTTTGTGTGTGCAAAGGGCAGTGAACTGGACTTCAGTGAGGTGAACAGCCCTGAGGACACAAACCGTCACACACTGCATCAAACACCATTAAAAAACACACAAAACTGATATTTTATTACAAATAATTGCAAACGAATTCTAGTATTAGGAAATATCCTCTGTATATACGATTTTATTTTAAAGCAGTTTCACTATGCAGTATACTTTCTTTGTGATCAACTTTTTATTGTCTTTTACATATAACATCATAACATGATTTAAAAACAAAAACAGACATATAATCAATAATTTAAAGAGTCCAGTCAAAAAAATCTTTATATAATCCTGTATGTTAGAGGAAAAATATTGGCAAGCATCAATAATACTTTTTATTAATTCGTGCTGTTGTACGAATAACAACTACGGTCACAAGTCACTATTTTAAGAAAGCTATGGATCCAATATGTTTTTCAACACGTGTGTGTAAACCAGTTCTGAAACGATGCAATATACTTTCTTATCTCTCTATTTATATATGACTCTCACTTAGGGAGTCCCTTAAATATAAAAGTTTTATAAAAAATAGTTTACAAAGGTCTAAAAGAAAAGTTGTTACAAATGTTTTACAAAGAAGTCTTTAAAAACTTCACTTGGCAAGATGCATTTCTAACAGTGTAATTAACTGATAGCCTACTTTTAAAACTTGATAAGACCACAGAAATAGAGTGAGGGATGAGACAGAGATGTTTCTTTAGACGTATGACTTACAGCCTCTTCTCCGTCTCAACCTGCTGCTCATCCATGGCACCCAGATCTTCTCCAGAGGATTTTGTGTCAGTTCAATTTGTGAGTGATACATATTCAACAGATGCTCTCTGTCCAGAAGTCAGTGTTTATCCAGAACACATTTGACACATCGGTAAGAAGACACCACAGCCCTGCCAGCACAGATACTGTACCTATTTATGTGTGTACAGGTTTGACTATGCTTGTGAGGTCCAAAATGTCCTCACTAATACAGTGAAACCTGTTAAACACCAACTAGAAAGCAGAACCTCACTAGTCAAAAAGTTTTCCAGATGTTTTCTTAAAATATAGTGTTATGCAAAGTTTCTGTGAGGGTTATTTTTAGGGGCAGGGGCGGGGTTAGGCAATTGAAGACATTACTCTCTATATAAAAACGATGTTAGTCCTCACAGTGAAACAAATGTGTGTGTGAGTATTGAAAACGCAGTATCTCGTAGTATTTTCATGCAGTATCTCATGCTCATAGATATTTATTTCAGTCTAACCTGTACTCTCGCAGCGCGTTCTCTTTCTCATGACGGCTTTCTCACAACGCTCCATTAATAACACACATTAACACAAACACCGCAAAACAGCCAAAATACCAACCATACTGCGCGAAGACTGCTGACTTGAATATTCACTAGTCATGATTACGTCGTTTGGCTCCTTCCAATGGCGAAGGGTTGGCTCGCCATAGTAGCACGTACTTGTAGTCCGCGGTCATGTGTTTTTGAAGGTAACAGTGCTTAAGCTCTCACGAAAATTCTCACTAATACAGTGAAACCTGTTAAACACCAACTAGAAAGCAGAACCTCACTAGTCAAAAAGTTTTCCAGATTTTTTCTTAAAATATAGTGTTATGCAAAGTTTCTGTGAGGGTTATTTTTAGGGGCAGGGGCGGGGTTAGGCAATAGAAAACATTACTCTCGATATAAAAACGATGTTAGTCCTCACAGTGAAACAAATGTGTGTGTGAGTATTGAAAACGCAGTATCTCGTAGTATTTTCATGCAGTATCTCATGCTCATAGATATTTATTTCAGTCTAACCTGTACTCTCGCAGCGCGTTCTCTTTCTCATGACGGCTTTCTCACAACGCTCCATTAATAACACACATTAACACAAACACCGCAAAACAGCCAAAATACCAACCATACTGCGCGAAGACTGCTGACTTGAATATTCACTAGTCATGATTACGTCGTTTGGCTCCTTCCAATGGCGAAGGGTTGGCTCGCCATAGTAGCACGTACTTGTAGTCCGCGGTCATGTGTTTTTGAAGGTAACAGTGCTTAAGCTCTCAAGAAAATTGTCTCTTCACACTTGGCATGACTCCGTGATTATTTTGTATCTGAAAAACAAAACATCGACGCATTTTCAACATAATACATAAACTGATGCTGTCTGGTGGTGGATATTATGAAATTAAATTTTAACAAAATTCTAAAACATAATGTAGGGTGATCATTGCTGAACATTATCCATGATAATCAGCCTACTTTCTGGTTTTCAACTAGATATGCTTCCACCTCTAACTAAGAAATAATGCATATTAAAATTATTAAATAACATGTTTTTTTGTTTGTTTTTTATATCCACTGTTTTAAAAAAAATTCCAGAGTGAATCGCGGAATCCAGTCACAGAAACTGACTGGAAACCATGGAATTTGGCAAAAAAGCAGGGATGTAAAAAATTATTTTCATGTAATCAAAGTGTCTAGTGTCTGTGAATATTAAACTGCGAAAAAGATATGAAATCTGCATGTTCTGCGTGTCTCTGTGCGAATGAATGCTTCTAATGTACTCATGAGCAGAGATAATAAGCAACTTAACTAGCACAGGTGAACAGGTAAATCAGCCACTGTGGCTGTGTTGGGTGTAATGCATTACAAGTGACGTGAGTTGTGTAATCTGGTTACTTTTTTTCAAGTAACTAGTAAAATAATGCATTGATTGCTTTTTATTTTAATAGAAAGTATCTGAGTACTTTTTCAAATAAGTTACTGGTGCACACAACTCTCTCTCTCTCTCTCTCTCTCTCACACACACACACACACACACTTATTTTCACTTTACACAATTTTGAAAGAGAAATACCAAGATACATGGTGTTACAAATTTGAAGCATTTCATTCTTTGACATGATTTCTGACTTTAAAAATAGTGAACAGTAGACAAAAAAGTTTGCATAACTGTTTCAACAAATAGTGCTGTTTCTAAAACAGGATATGCAATATATAGTGTGTGTGTGTGTGTGTGTGCGTGTGTGTGTGAGAGAGAGAAAGAGAGAGCTCACCTTGCCTGTATCTGAAGGTCATTTGACTAAATGTCTTTCATGCGTAAGACTTGACCATATCTGAAAGTTTTCTCATTTAAATATTGTAAAAACTCAAAATAATTTGTTATGGTGTATTTGTTATAGCTTTTACAGTATTAATTTGCCTTTTTTTTATTACACTGATGAATCAAAACATTTACTTGTAAACATTTAACTTGAGGCTTACCGTATTATGTAGTATTACTATTCACATATTAAAGCAAACTGAATACTAAATGCATGCAGGTTATAAAGACGAATGTCAGTGTATTTTATTATATTTTGTTTGTATAACATCTGTATGGAGTGGCTTGACAGGCATAAGCTAAGATTGATAATTATCCATCAGTCAAGTACAGGTATTAGGTGCTCCTGTAGTTTAAACAGCAGAGCATGTCACTAGCAGTGCCAAGGTCATGCGACTTACAAAAAGATGAACAAAGCAATTAATCAAAGAGCCAATGATATTCGCACATTGCAAGGTTTATTAAACATTTAGAAGCAAGCTAGTGCATGCTTGTGTGCTGAAGTGCACACGCTTAAGTGCGTTTTTAGAGCGTGGTGGTTAAGTGCTTGTGGAATAAATGTGCCTTCAGCTGCTTCTTGAAAGATGTGATGGTCTCAGCCGTCTGGGTGGAGGTTGGCAGCTTATTACACCAAAGCGACAATAATGGTGTAAGGTTTGGAGAGTGACTGTGGCCCGTTGTGAAGGAACAAGGCGTCGCTCTTTTAGGATCATACACTAGTAGTGATTTGAAAGCCAGTGTCTATAAACAACTGGGAGCCCGTTAAGTAAGATCAGGATGGATCAATGCCTTGCAAAGGTGTAGGTTTGGTTTTAAAGTTGGTAAATTATGAAATTAATGTATTATGTTGGCCTTTTTTGTTTAGCAATATCACTAGCAAGAGTTTTTTGTTTTTTTTTATCTGCATGATTAGCAATGAGATACGGTTTTATACTACAGTTCAATAAACAATAAGTTAATATTCTGTTCCATTTATGTCAGTACTGTCTGTTTTTGCTCAATTTTGCCAACAAAAAGTTTCAAAGAAAGCTACAGCAGAACTTTTTAAAACAAATAAAGTGAATCATTCATAAAGATTTTACTTGCTTAGGTTTCGCTCGGCTGAATGAATGACACACTCATTAAGACCATCACCTACTGGCGGTTTTAGTTTCATATTTAAAGTATCATTTTATTTAAAAAAATATTTCAATATTAATTTTTTAAACCCATTAATGTCCATTTAAAACCCAATTAATCTTATAGCATTTTTTTATGCAATTCATCCATGCCACCTCTGAAAAGTCTGTAAAAAATATACTTAAACACCACTTCAGATGAAACTTTTGATATATTTAAAATATACCCAAGTTTGTGTGTAATTGCGTGTAATTCTGTTGACTCCAAATATTTTTTCAAAAGCTACTCTTTTGTGAACCTTTATATAATGTTTTTTTCTGGATTTTTTTTGGTTGGTATTCTGTCTCTATACAGTTAAAATAAACCTTACAGACATAAAATGTAAAATTTACATAAAAATTACAGACCCTTCATTTCTTTGTAAGTGGGCAAACTTACAAAATCAGCAGGGGATCAAATAAATATTTTCCCCACTGTAAATATAAATATATATATATATATATATATATATAGCATGTTTATGTGTGACCTTCTACATATGCTCAGTAAGTTGCTGCATGGATCCATTACAACCAAAGTGAAATTTTAAAGTTACAGTAAGCCATTACAACCACACAACAAGTTAAGATGATTTCAAACAAGACATTCATGTGTATTCAAATATTACTGGGAAGCAAAGTTTATTTTCCAAGAGAAAATTACTTAAAACTTAACATACTAAAAAGGACAAATACAGGACAAATACAGTCAATACAAAAGGGGTGATAAAACTTTTACCAATCAACAAAATCACTTAAACTGCAGGTCTTAGTCATTACATAACCTCTATTGTGAAGTTTTACATTATAAAGCTTTAAAGCCAATTATGCAGAGTTAAAAACGTTAGAAAAGTCAGACTAATCTAGTTTCAATGGATTCATCAAAATTACATGATTGCCAAAAAGCACTAAACAAAAAAAAAAAAACACATTTTGACCCAAGCAAAAAAAAAACACAAATCATAATGAACTATATTCAAATCTAGCAAGAGACTGTGATGTGTAAATACTGAGAACATAAAAAGCCAAGCTGATCTTTGAAAACTACAAAACAAAACAGACAACAAATGTTTCTAGGTATGTGAGTAATGTCTCATTCATTGGGATTGGGGTTGGCATCAGGATACTGGGAGAGGTCAAAGGTCAGGACTTTACTGATGACGCAGTCTCCTTGCTGTCGAGGAAGGGCAGACAATGAGTAAAATGCATAGTAAGTCACTTTTATTCATACAGCACTTTAACAATACATACTGTTTCATAAGCAGCTTTACAGTTTCCATACTGTTCATGTTTATAACTTCTTCATATACCTTTTAGTTCACATTAAGCAGTTTTGAAGTGGGTGATAGTTAGGGTTGGGTATCGAAAACCATTTTAGAACCTGTTCCAAATTTCCAAGAATGCCTCAAGGTTACGTATGTAACCCTGGTTCCCCGAGGGAACGAGATGCTGCATCAAGACGCTTTGGGAACGCCTTCAGCGTGACCACGCTCTGAATGACGTGTGTAATCAGTCCAATGGATGGGCGAGACGTCACAGACGGGGTGACGTAGTGACCAGGAATCTATAAAGGCAAGTGCGGTGGAAACAGCCGCAGCTTCTGGTAGAATGAGGGAAGCCCTCGCAGGGATGCCGAAAGTATGGCAGGAGACGCATCGTCTCATTCCCTAGGGAAACCAGGGTTACATACATAACCTTGAGGCGTTCCCCTTCAGGAACTCGAGCTGCGTCGAGACGCTTTGGGAACGAGAATGCCCACGCCACCAGACTTTCAAGTCCTTGCATAGTGTGTATCTACTCAGCACAACTACGGCAAAAGGACGGAGGAACCAGGAGCGGTATGAACGTGAAGGTGAGCGGCGCAGACCAACCCGCAGCGTTACAAATATCCTGTATAGCCACACCCGACAGGAAGGCCTTGGAGGCCGCCACGCTTCGGTTGGAGTAAGCCTTGACCCCCAAGGGTGAGGGGAGACCAGAGGACTCATAGGACATGGAGATAGCATCAACGATCCACCGACTGTGTGTCTGCTTAGTATCAAGCAGACCCCTCTTGGAAGGAGCATAACAGACAAATAATTGGTCAGACTTCCTCCACATGGCAGCTCTGTGGATGTATGTACAGTTAAGCTTCTGCTGGTCAGGCTCCTGAAAGGGAGGAGGGCAGAAAGCCTGTAGTACGATGGACCGTGGCACCGAGGAGGACACTTTAAGGACGTACCCCAGCCTAGGGTACAGAAAAGCTTTGGCCAGGCCAGGCGCAAAGTCTAGGAAGGAGGGGGCCACTGACAGGGCCTGCAAATCTCCGACTCTCTTCAGCGATGAGATGGCTAATAGGAAGACAGTCTTAAGTGTCAGAACTCGATCTGAAACCTCCTCTAATGCTCAAAAGGAGGTTTGCAGAGAGCCTCCAAGACCATGGCCAGGTCCCACGGGGGACATTTGAGCGTACCGGGGGCCACCAAGAAGTGCGTGGTAAGCAGCTATGGCTGCCACGTACACCTTCAGGGTGGAGTGGGTCAACCCTGCAGAGAATCGAGCCTGCAAGAACTGCAGCACTGAACCGACCGGGCAGTTAACTGGGTCAAGCTGGCGATCTCCGCACCAGGAAGTGAAGAGTTTCCACTTCAGGGCATACAGTTTGCTCGTTGAGGGAGCTCTGGATTGAGGGATGGTCTCAACAACCTCGGTTGAGAGACCGGAAGCTACGAGTTGTGCCCCCTCAGGGGCCACACCCACAGCTTCCACAGCTCGTGGCGGGGGTGAAAGATGGTACCCTCCGCCTGTGAGAGGAGATCCCTCCTGACAGGAATCTCCCATGGAGAGCCGTCGAGAAGGGAAATCAGATCCGAGAACCATTCTTGGCCAAGCCAGAACGGGGCTACTAGCAGCAGACGGACCCCGTCCCGGCGCACTCTCTCTCCAGAACTCCCGGGAGCAGAGCGATTGGGGGGGGGAAGGAGTACAGACGAAGCCTCGGCCACGTCTGTACCATGGCATCCAGTCCCGAAAGGAGCTGGATGAGTCAGAGAGAATCAGAGGGGACAGTGCGATGTCTCCTGAGACGCAAACAGATCCACCAAACATTCTCCAAATCTGACACACCACATCTGGGTGGAGTCTCCATTCCTCAGGCCTCGGCCCCTGCCTCGACAGGATGTCTGCTCCCTGATTGAGATGCCAAGGGATGTGCACTGCTCTCAGCGAGAGGAGTTTCCCTTGGGACCACACAAGGATCTGGTGCGCCAGCCTGTGCAGGGGGCGCGAACGCAGACCACCCTGGTGGTTGATGTAAGAGACCACAGCTGTGTTGTCGGTGCGCACCAACACATGATGGCCTCTCAGGTCTAGGAGAAAGTGTTTCAGTGCTCGAAACACGGCCAACATCTCCAGGCAGTTGATGTGCCACGTAAGATGGCGGTCGCTCCACAGACTGTGGGCAGGGCAGCCACTCATGACTGCACCCCAACCAGTCAGGTGAGGGACGCATCCGTCGTTAACGTTACACGACAACAAGGAGCTCCCAGCACTGGGCCCTGTGACAAGAACCAAGGTTTCCTCCACATGTCTAAGGTACGAAAGCATCGCCGCGTTACCTTGATCATGCAAAGCGGATTTCCCCTTGGGGAAAACCCCTGGGTCTTGAGCCACCACAAGCCCTTCTTGTTCTAATACCGGAGCCTGCTTGGGACCGACCACAGTGGAAACAATCCCATTGAAACGAGGCGGAGGAGAACCAAACTGAATTCTGTAACCTCTTTCTACAGTCTGCAGGACACCATCGTGAGATATTTGGCAGAAACTTCCACGCTGGCAGAAAATCTACTAAGTCTCTTGAGACTGATCTCCAGTGTAATAGGAGCGGCTAGTTCGGTGCCCTGAAGTGGAGGACCAGCAGGGAACGAACGCACCAGCCACTCTGGAGACCTCCTTAGAGGCAGCGAGCCTCCCAGAGCCGCTATGTTTCCGGGCGGACACTGAGATGTGAGAGACCGCTGTGTCCTGAAGCACCAGCGGTGGCAGGGATAACAGTTCGGCCTGCTGAGGGCAATGAGGAGAGACGGGCACCGTGTAATGAGGCATACACCGCTCTTCCCCAGCGGGGGCTGCCCTCAGAAGCCCTGGAACATAAATATCAGGGCTTCTTGGTCGAAGACTTCTTGGCCAAAAGGACGGTCCTCAGATCGGCCTTCGACTGCGAGCGTCGTCGTGAGCCCTGATCCCCACACGGAGGAGTGTGGGTCGCAAAGCTCAATCTCTGTGCCTCTCGGTACAAGGGGCGGGCACACGGCTGGGACTGCTCCCGTCCAAACACCGCCACTTGGTTACGGGCCTCCTGAAACCTGTGGACGGCGGAATTGACGACGTTGCCGAAAAGGCCAGAAGGCGCAAGCGTGGCGTCGAGAAGGAAGACCCTGTCCTTCTCTTTAATGTCGGACAGAGTCAGCCACAGATGCCTCTCCGCGGCTACTAAGGCTGCCATAGTCTTTTAGGGACGATGAGAAGGAGGAGAAAGATAGTCCGAACCCTGGGAGGATCTTGTAGTCGAGGAAGAAGAAAAGGACTTGCCCGTCTCCATTCCCTCCACCAGATCCATCTGTGATCCCCACGACCGCCGCCGCCGCTCTGCCTCGGCAGCAGCGGGGTCTGAGCCGCGAGGAACGCTGGCGAGGGCTCGCTCCTTGAAAGAGAGCCCTCCGGGAGCGAAGCATCCGCAGCGAGCAGCGCTCGCAATACGCACAGTCAGCTCCCTCGAGAGCCGACTCAGCGTGCTTCGCTCCAAAGCAAACAACGCTAAGGCTGTGTGTATCCCTGCCCGTAATGTAACGAGGGCAGGGAGAAACACAGCCTAAACTGATGCTTGCTTTTATCATGCCCGCCCTTGGACTTGTCTTTTGCTTTTGTGTGTGTATGTCTTGTTTACAGTTGTCTGTCACTATAACAAACAAAGCAGCAATGACAGAGCGCTTCGCTGAATGACAGAAGCTGCCGCTGTTTCCACCGCAGGTGAAGGCGTTCCCAAAGCGTCTCGACGCAGCTCGAGTTCCTGAAGGTGAACCAGGTATTCGATAAGACGCGTGAATTTCGATTTTGCTTAATTTAAAATTACATTAAAATGTGAACGCAGGAATAGTTAAGTACAGGAACAGAAAGAACTTTGTCTTGTTTGCGTGCAGCGCACACGAAGAGCGAGCACAGAGAACAGCGGTCTCGGTGCGAATTCCCGGTTTGTGTCTATTCTCAAACCATTCTGTGCATTTCCACTGCAGAAAAGGTTGTTCCGGGCCAGAACTGACTTCTTTCATATTTATCGACCAGTATGCAGAAAACTACGTCAGTATATCATAAACACAGCCGTTTTTGTCTTATAAGGGATAACATTTTTGACTACAGGGGGACTTTTAACTCATCTTTGATCATCAAAATTACATATTTCAGTATTTTTCTGTGAAAATAATTCTCATGCCTTAAAATAGCTTGAATGTAACTCTACACCCTTGCCTCATTTACTAATACTGTAAAGCTGCTTTGACACAATACGTATTGTATAAAGCGCTAAATTCAAAAAAAGTTGAATTTATGTAAAATAGTTGTCAACTGAAGTTAGCCATTATATTCTGTCAATTTGAGTATTATGAAACCTGTATGTGGTTTCTCAGTTGCAACATATAGTGTAGTGACAAATATATTTAATCCAGAATTATTGTTAGGTGATGTGCATCTCTGCAAAGATTTTTTTTTTGTCATACCACCCACTCCTAAGCAGTATCATTGAGATGTTGATTTAAAGTCATGCCACAATATTATATATTTTATATATATAGCACAGTAATGAACACATGCTGTAAATGAGAATCTTACCTCTGGATAGACTCCGATCAGGGAGTCTGCTTTTGTGTAAAACTCCTCTTTGAGGGAGATCACTATAGCCTGGAAGTTCTGCACTGACTGATCCTTGATGTAGTTTGCAACCTACACAACACACATAAGGGTAAGTGAAGGATGACAATTTTTTAATTTTGGGGTTATAATAAGATACAATATGATCTATAACAAGTGTATACTATTTTAATCATATGTTTTTATTGTCTACTGATCTGTTTTAATATAAAATTAAGGGTCATCCATGAATTCCTATCAGCCATATGTTTCAATCTACACTGCACCATAAAGGTTTAATATAAAAATTAATTGTTTTGGGAAATGGAAATATGCAGATACATTTTAATTTATGACATTTACAGAGTATGCAAAAGTTATGTATATAAAAATACAAAAAAAAGAAAAGGAAAAGAAAATGAGATCGCGACTTTATACACATTATTATTACTTACATGACTGCTGCATTTCCCATTACTGTATCTTTTTCAATATTAATGCCTACATAAACATCACTTAAAAAGTAAAATTAAGACAATTGCAATTCGAAGAATGTCTGACAATAACTTGTCAAAAGACAACTTGATTTTACAAACCTGAATAACCATCTCATTATTAAAAAGGTAATTTAAAGGCCATTAAAAAATCAATTCAAAAGAATGTTGAGTTCAAATGTTTACAACTTACAACTGCAGACTATCATAAATATTCAAGAAATAAGTTCTATCACCCAAATCAATGCAATTGAGTTATCAGGTAATATGTCAGTGGACTGAATCGAGTAATGTTAAAAAATACTCAAATAAAAATCTCATGTTTAAAAAAAATCTCATAAATAAGTGAGAGCATAATGAAGTGCACATTTAGAAAGCACATGAAACAAAGATCTACCACATTACACTTGTGGTCCCCTACACCATTTTACATTACAATCGTAATTACAACAGAAACATATTAACTGATAATATTTATAATTAGAATTTCTGTATTGTTTTATTGTAGTATCACAGCTATTGTAATGATTAATATTTCTATTAAAAATATTCATATTGATTAAATGTGGACTAAAAGTCTATTTTAGTGCAACAGGTCAATGTGAATGCAAATAAACTTTTGTTTGTTTTTAGCTCACTTGGTCACTGAAAGAAGCCAGAGTTTGTTCTTTTAAAGGGCTGCTGCACAATTTTTAACATCAAATGTAATTCTTAAGACCTGAACAAATTCTACAGAAGAAACAAAATCCTGCAAATCTGTGTATGACAAAGATGAGCATGATTTACAATTTTCATTATTAGGTCAACTATTCCTTCACAACTTTAAGATTTAGACATTTTAAGGATTTTGACGTGCCATTTTTGCTGCCTTGATATCTAAGCAGCAGCAATAAAATATCTTAAATGCTCATCATATTGCAGTTGCAATATATGACAAATATACACCTCAATGACTGTGTGTGTGTGACTTTAAGCAGTTTCTGGTATAAACCCTGGCGTGAAACAAACCTTGCCAATGTTGGTATTGTCCAGGGCTGCGTCAATCTCATCCAGCACAAAGAAGGGAGCAGGCTTATAGCTGTAGAGGTAAAGACATTGTGTCAGGTACTGTCTGGTGAAGGATGTGATTTCACATGAGGGTAAATATGTGCTGTACATACCTGTGAATGGCAAACAGTAAGGCTAGAGCCGCCACAGTCTTTTCTCCTCCAGACAGGTTGTCCATGGGCCTGAAACGTTTGCCTGGGGCTACACAATTATAGTTGATACCATCCAGATATGGCTCCTCTGGGTTCTCAGGCCCTAGAAATGCCTGGCAAAAAACACACATACACAATTACTTGGCTTAGTGTCTACGAGATGATTAGGTTTGCAATGACTAACTTGATAAAGAAAACACCTGAAAATTACTTAAATTAGCAATTAGTTTGATCATTACATTGAGTGCTTTTGCACTGTGTAAGCATAACCTTAGTAAGCAACTGTTCCAGAACACTTCAACCCAAATATTCAGATGTGTGCAGCACATTTTATGGAGGACTGTTTCCTGATCCTGGTAGAGTAGACTACAATGCCGGCTGTTCTGACTCAAAGACTGTAAGTACGTTTTTTAAATTTAAAGAGTTTTTATATTTTATATATTTAAAGCGAGTTTTGAGCAGTGTAGAGTAGCACTTATTGTTTGTCATTTCTCCGATCACAAATGCAAA